ATCAATGGTTTACAAAGTCGAGCTATTGTTAATGAACAATTATTTGATTGTTTGCTGGCACTTAGTAGATAATTTCGAACTATTTTAGTAGGTAAATTCCATACAGATTGATCGTTAATCTAAATTATTAATTTTTAATATTAATCACGTCTAGAATGATTATAAATCTTACGTTTAAAATAATATCATTTTTTTGAAGATTCTCTATATTTGCGAATGATTCAATGGCTGCTACATGATGTGTTTGTTTTCGTCGTTTGGAACGAACTTGTTTAAATTTTGTTTCTTCTGAACGTTGTAATAATGGTCGATGGCCACTAAGAACGGAATATGGAACTACACCTTCTGAACATAATTGCACTGTACCTATTGTCATTGTATAAAGAGAAATTTTTCTTGGATCGTCAATATTTATAGTAAATGTTGTATAATATTCTTGTGAGGATGATGATTGATCAAATAAATTTGGAGTAATATCAATATTTTCTTTATTTTCATCATCATCTTCTTCTTCATCAGTAGTTACTGATGTATTATTATCCTCTGTTTGACGTATTTGAACGGATGATAGTTTTAATTGATCAAGCATTTTTGTGAAATTCATAGGTGAGCATTCGTTTTCTATTTCACTAAGTAAATGATATAATTGAGCACTATCATATTTTTCAATTTGTAATAATGGTAAGTCTATTTTAGACATATCATTTGTATTACGAGATTCTTGAGAAAATAAAGAACGTGGAAAATAGCATTGATTAAAGAGTAAATTATTTGACGAAACATTTTCTGATGAATTTTCTGTAGAAACAGCAACTATCTCAGTGCCATCAGCTCGTCGAGCTATTGGTTTATACATAGTTTGTATTGTCGAATGATTTGATGAAGATACAGAAGATTCTTTAACATGATTACTACTATCAGTTGATTGAACTTTCGATTTATATAAAGATTTTGGTATAGAACGATTTAATGGAAATTTTGATGGTTTTTCAACATCTTCATTATCGTTAGATTGGTAAATTTTTGGTTTCGGTATCGATTTTGTTATTGTAGAAGTTGGTAATGGTTGTTCCATTTGTTGATTATCATCATTTTGTTGAGTATTTGGTTTATGTACTGATTTCGTTATTGTTGAAGTTGATAATGGCTCTTCCATTTGTTGATTATCATCATTTTGTTGAGTATTTGATTTATGTATGATTTTTCTTGAAGATTTTTCAATATCTTCATTACTATGTGCTCGTTGAATTTTTGGTTTTGGTATAAATTTTGTTCCTAAACGATTTAAAGAACTTTTTGACGATTCTTCATTCATATCAGCTTGTTTAACTTCTGTTTTATGTAATACTTTCGTTAAAACTTTTTCATTATCTTCATTTTCATTAATTTGTCGAGATATCGGTTTAAGAGAAGTCTGTGTCATTGAATTATTCAATGTAGACATTGAAGATGCTTCGTCTGATGACAACTGATTCTCATCAGTATTTATTTGATTTTTATTAGGAGATGATAAATTAGAGAATACATTACTATTTATATTATCTAATGTTGCTTTACTTGTTGATTTTGATGATAAACCATACTAAAAAAATGAATTATTTCTATATGATTTTTCATTTTCTTACTTGATTTAAAGTATTTCGATTTTGAATTAAATCATTATTATCATATTCACTTTCATTCTCCATTTCAGAATCGTTAGTAAACGAAACATCACTACTCGAATGAAAATCTCTTGATGTTTGAATTCGACGTTGATTATTTAACGCACGTAATCGTATTTCAAACTCATCTAATACATAATTATCATTATTTAAATTTGATTTATTTCGAAGAAATTTATGATATCGATCAGTAACACCATTATCATCGATTTGACTACCATCACTTTTTTGTTGAAGAAGTTCTTGAAGAAATTGATTTGCTTTTCGATTAGATTTAGTTCGACGATCATGTAATTCTTCTCCACTTTTTCTCATACCAATCAATGATGATGTCCATCTAGATTTTGCCATAATAGTACTGTTAAGTCGTTGAACATTTTCAAAATTATTTTTTTCATTCATATTTCGTTTATAACTGTGTATAGATTAAAAATGAACTTCAAAACAGACAAAGCAAATAAAAATACTTTCAAAAAAAGAAATGAAAAAGAAAAGAAGAATTATCGAATGAAATAAGAAAATATTTCAATCAGTATGTTAAAACACAAATGAAACGTGGCAAAAACGAATATGTTAAATAAACATAAGATGAGAGTAAAGCAATGTAGCAGAGATGTCTTGTGATTACGATAAATTTACATATATGTATGTAAGGTTGATAATGAATAAAGTAAAAAAAGTTATATAATCAATATTAATCAAGAAAATGAAAGTTAGTCTTATCTTGAGAAGAAGGTCATATTCATCAATGATATGTCTAAATACGTTTATTTAATATTATTGAAAAAATAATCAATGACATGTCGTATTTAAATAGAATAATTCATTCTGTATAATATCGGCATATTTTTTTCATCTATGATTTTATTAGATTGATGCAATTTTTATTCGTTATATATTGGTATTAAAACAAAGGATTTAACATGTATGTGAAAATAGAAGAAAAAATACCATTAAAAATCGTGTTTATGTATTGAATAGTCAAGGTTTATTTTTTGTAATGAATCAAAATTGCTTTTAGTTTTTGTTTGTCTATTAGAAAAAAAAGGTTTTCTTTCAACTATAGTAAACAAGAAATCCCGATAGACATTTTGATAATAATCAATGATTTTATTTTTCTATGAACAGTTTAACAATCAAATTAAAATATTTTTTAAGCACAGAACGTTTATAATATACTATTTTATCAAAATTTCCCATTATTCTCTTTGAAAAGAATAGTGTCGCCTTTAAATGTATTCTTTTCATCTTTATTATATATCATTCAATGCTCGTTCTTACAATTCTAAAAATAACAATGAATAATAATACTAAAGTCGATGTACCCATGTAGAAAAAAAAATATTTTTTTTTTCTTTTTAATATTCGATAATTAAAATTCAATCGAAAATATTCTCATTTAACATATTGATGTTTTAGGATTGACTTAATATCGTGAAACACTTAATTATGCATTTTATCCTTTTATTAGTAGTACATGTTTATATATTTTCACTGAATAACCTTATTCTAGTAAAAGTACTCTTAACATTTAGTATATATATATATATATGATTTATTTTTCACTATCGTGTTTCTCTCTATTATGATCTGACAGCACTTATAATATCTAATCAATCATATGGTATATGTAGACACGTATGTATATGACTTCATTCACTATCGTCTTGTTTACATATATTCTGTCGTTTGATATACTATGTATGTTTATTATTTTTTGTATTATATATCTTTTAGAATTATTGTTATGAAAATTCTTATGCAAACAGTTTCTTAAGTACTTGTTCTTTTAAGTATCTATAGATTGGCAGTTATTATATCAATAATTATTTTACAAATATTTAATCACAAAATGTTCCTGATATGACTAGACAAAAAAATTGGAAATTATTGAACATAATATGAATTATATGGAATGCTTCAATTTATATATTTGATTAAGATAATATTTCATGAAATGATATAAATAGAGTTGATGATAAAGTGCCCTAGAGCAGTACAATCTATATTATTAAGAACTTTATGAGTGAATAGTTTGATGTATGTCTGACCTTTCATGATTAACAGCTTATTTCAAATAAGAAAAGATTTGAGTTATTTTAACTGATCTAAATATTTTTCAAAAGTTAATAAATCGAGATTAATTATGTAGAAAAATAATTTAATCTTTAATCAAACTAATTGTGTTATATACTGAAATTCTTCTTGACTTCTAAATGATCTATTTATTAAAAACTATAATGAAGATATTGATTTTTCACGTTATTCATTATAAGAGAGTACTATTCATATAATTATATATTTATAGAAATATAATCTGGACCTACAACAAAAAGGTATCTTATTATGTATCATTTATGACAACCATATCGATGTTAACTTATTTTTCAAGCTATCTTAAATATCAAAATTTACAAAAGTTTCATATTCTTTACAGATCTTTAGTCTTCAGTGCAATGAAAAATTATATTTTATCTTATGCCAATAATAACATCGACGTTGTCTGTGTAGATATAAAGTTCTCAAGGTTTATTTTGATGTCTATGAAATATAATACTAAACCGGGCTGTTGTATTAAAATAACTGAAGCTATAAATATATAGAGTTTTTCGAAAAAACGATAATATGATATCATTGAAAAAAGAGTTAAACAGTATAACGAATTTGAATCAAATAGATGAATAACACGAGAAAAAATGTATGATTTATTAAATGTTTTATAGAAGTTTTTTATGACATTTATTTGAAAAATAGGTCGAAAATTATACGATAATCTCTAAGTATTCTATTATGAAGTAGAATGTGAAGAATAGCCTCGTTAATAGAAGAAAAAAAGGAGAATATATAATCTTCTAAATAACGTGGCACGGCCACGTGACAATAAAATTGAACTATTATAAAAGTAACCTAGATTATTTCTTTATAAATTACTAAAAAGAACCATGAATATTTGATATGATCAAAATGACTAGTTACTTTTTTTTTTTATAAAATGCGTTTTGTATTTATTTGAAAGATAAAAGAAGTACACCATTTTCTTTTATGATTATTTTTTTTATTCTTATAATGCAATGGGTCCTTCGCGTACATTCTTTCTATATATATCTAAAGATATATATTATTCTGCTAATATAATAGACGTAGTCTACAACGACCTGTTAACATCGCAATTGCGCTCGCAGATTTTGTTCTCTCGTTCTTCCTCATTTTTCTTCTTCTTTTCGTTCGAATCATTTTACGTCTTTCTTTTTTTTTCTTGCCGCTACGCACCAAAAGACTCGATCGTGTTGTCGTCAGCGAAAGAAGAAGGAAAAAGAAAAAAAAATCGTAAGTGCTCCAGTACATTGTCAGACAAAAGTGCATATTTATATATAAAAAGCAACAACACGAGGATACACCTTGAAAAGGACACGTGCTCTTTGTTACTTACATATTCGTATAATTTCTACATCGATGAAAGAGTCATAATACATGACTGTAGGTATGTATATAAGGAGTAGAATATCCAGACATTATATACAGCGTTCATTCAGTACGGTTTTTTTTAAATAAATCATATTAGATATCTCTTCTTTTGCGATTTTACTTGAAATATTTATGAAAAACATGTCGGTATGAGTTTCTTTAATACATATACTGTTTTTTATTTTATCAGTGAAACGAAGAAAGGACTTCGAGACGTTCTTTTAACCCTTTGGTTATCTTCTCGAAAAAATTTTTTTTTCTTTTTTCGTTCAATTATTATTTACTATTTATTTGTTATTTAAACAATTATTATTAAGTAATTGGTGTATACATATGTCTGTATGTATATAAAATAATATTTGTCGCTCACTGATATGCACCTAGTGACATGGAAGAGAGAAAAAAAATGTCAACATAAAAAAGGAAAAAAAAGGCGTCGATATGCGAAAGAAAGAAAATAAGTTTTTTTCTCTTCTATTTTTTTTATCCATTTTGCTATTCTAGACGATAGAACAAAAATATAGAACAAAGTGTCTTCATATATAATACATTTTATTGAAGGTCAAATTCGTTTGATTAACAAGTATGTTACATACAATGAATTCTTATAATTATGATAATATTTATCCACAATATGATAATCATGAAGATCCCAATAGTAATTCAATATTCATGAAACTTGTACCTAAAAAGGTAAATATTGATTACATGAAATTTTTTTCTTCTACCTTTACCAGTCATAGAAATGAATCATTTTTTTTGTTGATAAAAAAAATATATGCTGACTAGCGTATTATTCAGTACACGACGCATTTATTAAATGAAATGCATAAGGTGCCCCAGACGGCTTTTAATTAATAGTTAGTATACAATAGTTTTCTTTATAGGATCTCTTATCCGAAATATAAAATATTATTATTTAAAAGTGCCGAATTTTGATAATGATGCTATCTTATTTGATACATTATCTGCTAGCCTGGATAAATATGCTTACGAGCACTCATGCGAAAAAAAATGTTTTCTTCACCTTTCCATTATTTTTGCAGATATTGCATTTTTATGTTTATTAAATATATCTTACAGTAAAATTTTTAATTATTAGATGTACTCAAATTCTGTTAATCAAATTCTTTCCAGTGATCCATGTCGTGTATGTGGTTTTGACAAGAATACTGGTCGTAATTTCGGTGTTATAACTTGTTCAACATGTAAAGCATTTTTTCGAAGAAATGGTCGTACTGGTTCAGTAAGTGTAAAATAAATATAATATGATAAAAAAACTAACAGGTTTTCTATTTAATTAGTTATTACCACCATGTCGTTTTGGTGGTCAATGTTCTGTTACTGAACGAACACGTCGTCAATGTTCATCATGTCGTTTAGCGAAATGTTTTGCTGTTGGTATGCAAAAAGATTTAATACGTACGGATGAAGAACGTGCTGCTCGATTACAATTAGTTAAAGCAAACCGTATACACCGACACGGAAAATATCAACAACATGCACCTTGTGACATAAAAAAATCACCTCATCAAAATGATTCATCATCATTCTCATTATTATCATCAAATGATTGGATACAAATAACAAATATTCGTAATGCCTACGGACATTTTTGTTTAAATCCAATATTACATGCTGAAGAAGAACGTGAAGAATATTTAACAGCACAACCAATTAAATGTCGATTAAAAGAACATTCATTTTTAAATGTATTAAATGTACGTTTAACATCATTATCAACATTTTTTTCTACAACTATACCTGCATATTCTATTGGAATGAATAGAAATGATCGACAATGGTTAATACATATGAATTTACATTATTTATTTTTATTTTCATCCATGGATTTAATGAATATTAATGGTAATCAATTACATTTTGGATCAAATAAAGCTTGTCATAATGTTTATTTATATGTATTTGGACAAGATTTATTAATACGTGAAGAATATTTAATACATAAACTAAATCATTTAATTGGTCATGATTCCGCTATAAGTAAAATTATGCAGATTATTTTATTTTTATCACCATGTTTAGTTACTAATTCTTTTCGAACGTTAAATTCTTATCAACCATCAGCAGAAACAATTTTACATATACATCATGCTCAACAAGAATATACTCATATATTATGGTCATATTTAATTTATCGTTATGGTGAAATTAAAGCTCAAAAACTTTTTATGTCAATTATAGGACATGTTTTACAACAACAAATATATGGCAATGATGTTGATAAAAGTTTAATTGAAAGACAACCATTTGGAAATCTTGTTTATTCTATGTTAACATCATTTTCAATTGATTGATTTATAGACGAAATTTCATTATTAACTACGAGCAAATACGGTGATTTATTATTTAAATATATAAACCAAAGCATAAGTAACAGTAAATATTTTTCTATACAATCATCGCTTGACTTGTTGTTGTTGTTGTTGTTGTTACTTTTATTTTCATTTCGTTATATAGCTCTATGTACGTATTCTGTTTTGTTACAGCAAATATATCATTTAAAAAAAAACAAATGATGATTATATTCTATTCTTGCTTCTGAAAGAACACCTGGAATATACTACGCATCCTTCTAGAAACTGACAGAATCTATTATATTTGATTACGATAGGAGCAAAAAGTGAAAAGGACGAAGTGTTCTTATGACATCAATAAGAGTAAAATGTGGGTGTCGATATTTTATAAATATCTAATTATAAGTATTTATCAAAATGATTTTTTTTATTATTGCTTATAACCAGATATTTTTATTTAATAATATGTTTATAGAATGAATGAATAAATAGGAAAATGATTAGAATTTTATGAATCATACTCAATGTTACCATGCATATATAACAAGATCAAAAATGACATTTTCTAGAAAGATTATTAATAGAAAAAATACTTCTAAAGTGCAAAGAAATCGTAGAATTCAATATAAAAAAGTGCAGTTAGAGTATGGTAACCTCAAAGTCAAATAAAAATAATTTTTGCACTATTTGCCTTGTTCTCTCCGATCATTACCTTCAGTATTTAACAATAGTAATGATAATAACTATTAGTCTAGTACTTTACTATAAAAAAACTGATAGATTTCATGTTGACATGTTATCTTGCATGAAGGTTATAGAAAATGTAGTCTCATATTACCACTTATGATATAAAGTAATGTGCATCAAGACTAATGATTTAAGATGAATGTAAAAGCATATTTATGTAAAAATTTAACAAAAAAAAGTTATAATATATTATCGAAATTATTGTTCGTGTTATAGTAGTTATATAAATTATATGATGTACTTTTTCCACTCTGAAAATCAACATGCGATGTTATTTTTTTGTTATGGGATATTCAGATCATATATTTTCATAAATAATATCAGTAACCGGAAGGAAAATTTCAAAGTTAGTTACATTATTTTAATATAAGAGAGTTTTAACAGATGTGCAACAAAATAAAACATTCTTTACTTTTTATGATTTGTGTTGAATAAACGAAGCATGTTAAAATATTTTCTTTATTAAAAATTCTTCTATAGGACATTTATTTTTAACATGCGTGGAAAAAACGTACACATCTTTTTTTATCAGTTTATTAAAGTGCATATCATAACTTCTTATTAATGTTATGCATGAGATGAAAGCTTCTTTATTGGCGAAACTGTTTTTAGATTTTTGATTTGAATCTGATACAAACGAATAAACACGATTCATTTTTTAAGATATGAAATAATTTCATGCATCTAAATTTGTTCGAAGAGAGTTCATTTAATTAAATCCTTCACTTTCGGTAGAATAACTAAGTTGATTTGGAAAAAGTAATGTTTGCTCAACTAGGTCGTAGACATTATTCTATTAGATATGAGCGAATGTAAACTTTACTTAATGTTATATCTTATCTATCTTTTAATATTCAACGATATTTATTGTCTTATATTTTAATAGAAAAAATGTTTACATATTTTTTGTTTTCATTTGATTATGTTATTCAAATAAATCTTCGAACTCTTTTTGATTGTGAATCATGTTGTTATTTTGCAACATCATTATTATTTTTCATTTCTTCTATGGGTACTTTAACAATAGACAGACAAGTTCTCGTCAACGTTCCTTTTTTTTACGACCAAAAAGTCTATGAAAGAAGAGTACCTGCAACACTTTTAAGCATTCATACGAATACATTTTTTTTTCTTTTCATTCTGTTCTGCAAATACTTCATAAATAAGTAACAAAGCCTCAAGAAATAAAGTAGTGATGATGACGATGCAAAAAAATAAATTTGTAGAAAGAGAAAAAGGAAGAAAGTTTAAATAAGTGTTAGCATTTATTCTTGAGAATAACAAAGTAACATACGCATTTCACTGTTGTAAATCATCATCATGTCCCGACCTGGTAGTGCAGCAAAAGGTGGTCTAATGACTGCGAAACCTACATCAAGTCATAAAGCACGAATTAATGTTATCTATTATTCAATGTATGGTCATGTTGCTACATGTAAATTTCAATTTATAATATAAAAAGATAATTGATTAATAATCGAATTTATTTGTTTTTTCTTTAGTGGCGAAATCAATAGCAAAAGGTGCTGAAGCAGCTGGCGCTGAAGTTCGTTTAATACAAATACCTGAAACATTATCACAAGAAGTTTTAGCAAAAATGTATGCACCAGAAAAAGATACAGCTGTTCCAACAATAACATTTGGTGAAGCTAGTGACAATACAGTAACTCTTGAAGATGCACTTGTTAATTGTGATGGTATCATTTTGGGTTTTCCAACACGTTTTGGTGGTATGCCAGCTCAAGTTAAAGCTGTATGGGATGCAACTGGTGGATTATGGATGAAAGGTGCACTTGTTGGTAAACCACTTAGTATATTCTTTTCTACAGGCTCACAAGGTGGTGGGTAAGAAGATTGAATTTTTATTTAATTTTTAAAATATTTATATTTTCTTTACAGACAAGAAACAACAGCGTTAACATCATTAACAAATTTTATTCATCATGGTATGCTTTTTGTAAGTTCGTTAAATTTTGTTTTCAAATAGAATTTTATAAATTTATTTTATCGAATAGGTACCACTCGGGTATTCAACTCCACTTTCAGGAAATATGGATGAAATACATGGTGGTAGTGCCTACGGTGCAGGTAAATTTATTTTGTTAATGTTTAATTTTTCTATTTAAACACACACATATATGTATTTAGGAACTTATGCTGGAAGTGATGGAAAACGTCAGCCAAGTGAACTTGAATTAAAAATAGCTGAACATCAAGGAACGTTTTTTACACAAACAGCAACTGCATTAAAGATTGGTCGAGCAGCATTACCACCAAAGGAAGCTAGTCCACCTGATCCAAAACCAGAGGAAGGACACAAAAAACATGATCGACCACCATCTGCTAAAAAATAAATGTTAGAATAATTTTTTTATATTTTAAACTACATTCAAACAAAATATTTTTGTTCTAAAAATAATTTATAAGTGAAACATATTGTTTTGCTTATTATTTAATTCATTAATAAAAAATTATTTTGCTTTCATCTTATTCTAGTTTTTCATAACTCGTTATTGATAATGGTAGATGTTTAATTATTTTTTTGAAACTAAGACAAGTGTTGCATCGGTCGGTTCCTAAGAGACAATTGATGACACTCGTTTCACTTGAAATAAATATTGGCAATAATAACAGATTTTATTGCAAGAAAAATAATGTTTTCAGACGAAATCTTTTTACTGATTTATTGTTTTTATGCTTCATTTTAACAATAGAAAAATAATTAGAAATGAAAATTGATTTATTTCGAAATAATATTCCTGCAATTAGTTCTTTTAGCAAATTTATTACTTCGTCTAGAGCATTTATAATCGGATTTTCCGTCGGTTAGTAATCCTATAGTATTAAAAAAACAACAATATTTTTACTTAAAAAGAAAGGAACTTTATATAAGTACGTAGACTGTCTGACGCTTGCTTTCAATTGTTTGTATTTATAAGTGTATTATTAACTTAATTAATTCGATTAGATATAATTTTAGGTCAAAATCATCTATGGAATTATTATTTTTAGTCTATTTTAGTTTTTATTATCGAACGAATAGGAACGAGATATTTAATTCAGAAATATATCTATAAATACTTAGATTTAGCGAATTGAATGACTTTGTTGTGAGATTGTATTACATGCTTTTATACAATTCAGTTCTTAACAGTTGTATCTTTTTATGACTCAATAAATCTTTACTTTATAGTTTGATTCATGTTAGTGATGTGAAAAGTAAAGGATTCTCTCAATTATTCGAAATAAGTGTCACGTACGTATCTATCGGACTAGCTTTATCTACTATATATATACATAAGAATTATATAAGATATGTACTGACATATAAGAGACCTCTTTCGTTCGTTCAGTCATCATTATCTATGACCATCGTCGTCCATAAACAGAATGCTTTCTTTCTTTTCTGACCTAAATATTAGTCATATCAAAAACAATTTTCATTATACAATTCAAACATTTTTATTCAACTATTCATCTTTTATTGATATATTTACTCCTTTTGTTATATAATAACTCTGTTCATTTTTCTTTTATCATTCCACCAATTTCCAATGATGGCGTTGATAATTAAAAGACAGAACATTTAGAAATTCTTCTTTCGTTAGCTAATAATCGTTCTTTAAATTGAATGTATTATTCTAGAGTACAAATCATGAACAATGCTTCATCTTTAACACCATTACATGACAATCATAGTCATAAAAGTTCAGATAATATCAATGTAATAACATCTGAATCCAACAAGGACAACCCTTCCAATAATAAAGTACAAGTATTTATGATTATTACAAATCTAGAACAGCTTTTCTTTATTTACAGGGTATTACAAGTACACTCTTATTGGCTGTTTTTGCAGCTATTAGTGGTACTTCTTTTCATTTTGGTTATGCAACTGGTGTTATGTAGGTTAATGAAATTTGAGAAATATTTATTATATCTTTATTTCTAATAGGAATTCCCCACAAGGTGTATGTGATTTTCTAGAGAATAAATGATTTATTTATTAATCATTATCTCATAGGTTATTCAAATATTTATTCGTGAAATAATTCATAGACGAAATTCAAATTCTAATCCAAGTGAATCAACTATTACATTAATTTTGTAAGAAAATAAAACTTTTGTATAATAAAAATAAGCAAATATTTTATTTTAGCTCTTTGGCTGTATCTATATTTGCTGTTGGAGGTATGATAGGTGGTCTATGTGGAGGATTTTTAACAGATCGATTTGGACGGTAGATATAGTTTGAAATAAATATAAAAATATTTTTTTGATGTGTATAGAAAAGGTGGAATGCTTTTAAATAATATTATTTCATTTATTGCTTGTATATTAATGTTTATTTCAAAACCTCGTAATTCATATGAACTTCTTATTGTTGGTCGATTTCTTATAGGATTATCTTGTGGTAATTATTTGAATTTTTTCGTATTTTAATTAGTTCGATTTTTGTAATCAAGGTTATGGTTCATCGGTTGCACCGACTTATATAAATGAAATATCTCCAAGACGTTTACGTGGTACATTGGGTGTAGTTTTTCAATTGGGAGTTGTTACTTTTATATTTATCTCACAAGGAATTAGTTTACATTCAGTCTTAGGTTCCACACATACATGGCATTATGCTTTAGGTAAAAATTTAATTCAAGAAAAAAAATTACTATAAAAATAATTGTTTTCTAATTAGGTTTACCAATTGTGTTTAGTATTATACAAGTCATATTATTATTTATTGTACCGGAAAGTCCAAAATATTTATTATTGAAGAAAAATGATTCTAAAGGAGCTGAGAAAGGTTTGATTGATTCTTGTTCAAATCTTATAAAAAAAGAGCGTTCATATGAAATTAGGGATGCAACGGTGACGGTTAGTCACCGGTCTAACCGGTAACCGTTCTACCGGTGATCGGTCCATTTTGAGAGCGTGGGTGTGATTGGGTGTGAGAGTAGGAGTCTGTGTGGGGTTGACGTTAGTGATAGATGAATAAATACCCACACCTACACCCTCACGATGGAACGGTTACCGGTTCAGCCGGTCACCGGTGGAACGATCACCGGTTTAGATCGGCCACCGGTGGACCGGTTAGACCGGTCACCGTTGCATACCTAGATGAAATTAATATAATCAGATCATTTTATGCGAAGGATAAATATATCTAGTAGAAAATATGAATATCATAGTAGTACCTTTGATCATGAACAGTTCTTAGAATTATCGACTAATCTTTATCATTAGAACAATAAATAAATATTTTGTTTCATAGCACTTCAATGGTTCCGTAGACAATCTAATGTTCAAGAGGAAATAACTGAAATGGAAGAAGAACAAAATAATCAACAACATTCTGTATGTATAAATATATATTCTGTGAATTATTTCTTGAAAAGAAAATAATTTATTTAGGCTGGAATTATCAGTCTATTTCGAACACCAATTGTTCGTTGGGCATTATTTATTACAGTATTTCTTCAATTATCTCAACAATTATCTGGTATCAATGCAGTTTTTTATTATTCAACTGTTATATTACAAGCAGCTGGTTTTAATAAAGAAATAGCCGAATATACTAATTTAAGTTTAGGTGGTGCTAATATTCTCGTAACAATCCTAAGTATTTTTCTTATGGATCGTGTGGGTCGACGTTTACTTCATTTGATTGGTCTTGGTGGTATGATTATTACAAGTTTAATACTATTTATTTCACTTCTTCTACAATCAATAAACGTTTGGAATAAAATTTCATTAGCAATGACAATTCTTTTCGTATGTTTTTTTGCTATCGGTCCAGGTTCAATACCTTGGCTGATTACAGCAGAATTATTCAATCAAGCATATCGTGTACCAGCTTCAAGTATTGCTGTTCTGGTTAATTGGTCAGCTAATTTTGCTGTTGGCTTAGGTTTTAAACCACTTTTTACAGTAAATAAAAGAAAAACCATAGTTCGTTTTTTTTTCGAATATTTTTCCGTTTTATTTAGGGTGCTTTGGATAAATATACATTTCTTTTATTCACTGGATTATTAGTAATATTCTTCCTTTTAACATTCTTCTTTGTACCAGAAACAAAAGCAAAAACTGTTGATAACATCTATGCAGAATTACGTACTGGACAAGTATGGCGTCGACGCTTTCATATATATCATTTCAATAATGAAGATTACAATACCGAACATCAACATTCATTAACAACAATTTAAAAAAATTATCATTTGCTTTTTATGAACGAACATTATGATATGAAAATGTTTTTTTTCTGTTCATTCTAAACTCTATAAAATAAAAATGTCCGTGGATGAGCGGAATAGAGAATCAATATGTACTGCCATCTGTCTTGTATTGCGATAGTTTGCTAGTTTATATGCAAATAAAGATTTTCTCAAAATAAAAAAATAATTTTTTTTTTCATTTACTTATTCGAACAAAAATGTCTTCGTTCATTTCCGATCTGTCGGAAAAATTACTTTTACAAGATGATAATGAAGCAAATAATACAGCTTTAAATCATTTTCAACAATCAACTCAACCATATAATGATTTATTTGAATATATTTTAATATTATCGGAATCAAATCATAACAATACAAATCTAATTCATTGTCTTATACAATCGTTTCTTCAATGGAAAAATCAATCGAATAAAAAATTTCCGATACCTAAATTCGATGAAAAACTTCTAAATAATTTAATTTTAAATAATTTATCAATTAATTTCTTAAAAGACATCTGTGACATATTTCAAATTTCAAAAAATGATTTAATGTTTTTATTACGAATTTTATTACGTGAACCAATTAATTCGATTCTATACAAACGTGCATTAAATATTATTATAAAATTTCATTATCAATTAGAATTTTCTCCTGAAGAAATTTTATTACCATTGATACTTAATACCAAAGATCATTTAATACATTTATATATTGATAAAAACCCAGAATTAGAAGATTATGTCTTAGATTTATTGAATTATTTATATATAAATGATGGAAAAAGACTTCGAGATATTGTATTAAATGAATTTAATATGAGAAATTATCAAAATATAAATAAAAAAGCTTTAGGAAAATTAGCTGTTCGATATTGGAATTTATTTGGACATGAACAAAGTGATAAATATCCGAATTTAGCGAATTTACAACATAAAAGAACATTAAATTATTTAATTAATATGAAATATAATGGTATTAATGATGAAAAAACAATAAGCGATGATGCTTGGAATGAATTAGTTCAAGTAAAAATAGAAAACAAGAAAAATTAGAGATCTATTGTTTTTGTATTTAAGGAAATTGTTCAAGGAAATGAAGAATTATCTATATTTTTAATTGAATCGCTTGTTGATCGAGATGATAGTATAGCTGTTAGATATTGGCGTAAGATTTTATTTAAATTATTTTATATTTCTATAGTCTTCCTTTATTTTAGTTACTCAGTTAAATGTACCTTATAATGCCTTATCACACTGGGTATGTAAACTCTATTCTATTTTAATCTAATAATTGTTCCCAAGATATGATATTCCCTTTTTTTTTGTTATTTAACTGTATTGGTTATGATAATATTCATCATTTGTTTTTCTTCTTATGAAAAGGTACGAAAATATATCCAAACGAAACAAAATGATCGATCAACAACAGTACCATATGCACAAAATTCTACTAGAAAGTTGCCTATTGAATATTACAAAATACCATCCAAAGATGTACAAATAGTTTTTATTGATGCAATGCCTACATATCAACGTTTACTTGATCGATTATTTAAAGTTGATAATGAAGATCAAGAATTATTTATTGGATTCGATTGTATGTTATCTTATTTTATAATTCAAATAAAAGTTTTCCTAGTAATATAGATGCTTTCTTAGCGGAAAGTCATATTAAGATGAGAGACTGAGGTGTGGGTATTTTATCCGCTTTATGTCCACCCTGCTCGATTAAAATCTAGGGAACTGTAAAATCACTTTTTTTCGGTCCCGGTCCCGGTCTGCTTGTTCAGTTGGTTCCGGTCCCGGTCTTGATAAAAGCTTAAGAATAATTCTAGTGTTGTCTTCATCTATACAAAAAACAAATATGAAATTCACGAAAATTCTTGCTTTTTCGATTGTAAATTGAATCTATACGGTTTTTCTTGAACTATAAAATAACACCTTTGTCAATTCTTAATTAAAGAAAAAAAAGAAATAAGAAAATATCTAGTCTCATACTTGATAAAAACATTGAGGAATTAGTTGACAATTTTAGTCTTGGTCCCGGTCCCGGTGCCAGTTCCGCGGGACCGGGACCATTTTGCAGTTCCCCACTAAAATAGCGGTTCTGTAAAATAGTCTTAACGTCATTTTTCTAAGCCTGATAAATATTAGTATTTATTTATGTAAATAATTTTGTTTGTTCAGGTGAATGGAAACCAATGTTTGACAATTCACCATCATCCCAACAACGAATTAGTATAATGCAAATCGCATTTTCAAATGAAATATTTTTACTTGATATGCTGTATTTTTTTTCAACCTGTGATAATCAAACTATTCAACAACGTTTAGCAAATCGATTATTTGATGATGATCATGTGACGATACTTTGTAAATAAAATATTATGTTTATAAATAAATGATTTCTTATTTAAAAAAATATTTCAAGGTTATGGTTTTAAAGCAGATGCTTCTATGCTTATTTCTTCTTTTCCAATATTTGATCGAGTGCTTTCATCTGGAAAAACTTTATTAGATATGTCTCTTGTACAATCGGATGTAATTATAAGGAAAAAAAATTTTTTTTTGTTATAAATATATGTTTTCTTTTGTATTGATAGCTAATGCTTAGTCAACGAGATATATTTCCATATAATATAACAAATAATAATACACCATCGAAAGAAAAAGGTCTTAGTGAATTGGTTCGTTTATGTTTTGGTAAAGGATTAAATAAATCTGAACAATGTTCTAATTGGAATAAACGACCATTAAGAACTGCACAAATACAATACGCAGGTAAAGCAAAAATCTGATTTTTCTCTTATAATATTTTTGTTTATTTATTTTAGCTCTGGATGCGTATTGTTTACTGGATATTTACAGTTTTCTTCGAACTCGTCTACAATCATCTGATTATCTTCAATCATTTCGTGGAAGAAAACCGAAAAAATCTGATCAACATCCGTCATTAAACGATGTTAACTCAATAAATGAAATAAAATAAAATTTTGAATAATTATTCCCGAATAGTAACTTCATATATATATATATATAATCTTGACATATCTGTCGTTCTTATAATTATGCCTATTTGTTGTCAATGTTTTTGTATTGATGTCAGTGCTTGATTTTTTTTTTCTTTAAAGACAGTATATTAAACGATTTGTTATGTATAATAATAAGTGATAACTAGCAATATTTTAAATATGAAGTCGATCTAACGTATGTCAAAGAAGTCTTGGCACAGAATGTTACGAGCCAATGAGAGTCAGTTAGTATCAGGAATAGGTATATGACAACTCCGGTTCCGCTCAACGAATGGGAATTGTTTGAACAGTTCTTGTTAAATTGAACTGGAGCTGTTGACCAGTTCACTTTATTCATATATTAATCATTATATTACATACAAACGTGAATAATATCTAACTATTCACGTTTAACGATTATTTTTGACAACGAAGTTATTAATAAAAGCTCAAAGCAATTCTTAAATAGATTGTGACAATTTTTTTTCGTCTGATGTTGTATTTGGATTTCAACATACTTAACCCTTTCAGGACGGGATTATTTTCTTAGAAAAAAATAGATTTTAAAGGATCAAATAATTCTGTTTTTTATTCAAATTTATTAATATGCTGTGCACACGATCGGATCACCTAACAACACCATGCTCACCTGTATATGCAAGAAAATAGATCAGAACGATACAGCCTAATAATTTAGTGCATAGAAGAAAAGGAAAAAAATAGGTCATAATTACGCAAGTCATATAAGATATATATCACTGCTATAAGTATTTTTTAACGTGTACACACCTACTTCCTATCGTCAATACATAACATGTTTCTTTTAAAAAAAGACTGGTATATACTGTGTACCATCCGTCCTGAAAGAGTTAACGGAAATTGAGAAACAGTTTTTAACTGTTTCGTTTTATGAAGCAATATTTGCTGATTCATTATATTTAAATCTAAAACGAACGACTTTAGAATTGCGAAAAATTATTATTAGTCTTATATAATCCGAACGGCTCTTAAATAGAGAATTTCGCCATACGTATTCTGAATATGTTTTGCTCTCGTCAGTGTATGCATTGAATAAAATATTCTTTAAACAATAGAATCTCTTTATTTAATCAAATAATTTCATTTAACAATAATTTATCTATGTACAAAATTGTATGAATTAGAATACAACACAATGCTAAAATAAAAAGGCATGCTTAATTATTGCCTGGAAGTAATAATTTGGCAAGTGTTGCTTCATATTGTTCATCTAATGTTACAAGTTCTGCAACAACATTTAAACGTCGTTGTGCTAAATGTTTTAATTCTGCATATGCATTATGTCGTTGTTCATTACGTGTTTTTTGTCGTTGAATTGTTGTTGATAAATGTTCTGATAGACGACGAGTTTTCAATGGACCTTCAATACGAGGTGTTGATGAATTTGATGATGAACGCATTTGATTATTGGGTACTTCATGACGACGAATATCTGATTCATGTCTAAAGTATTATGTTTAGAAAATTTGTTATCTTTATCTAATGTATATATACAAACTTTTGAGATAATATTGATGAATCTCTTTGAACAGGAAATGAATGATTAAGTAATTGCGCTAAAGTTCCCATTTCATGTGTTGAATCGAAATGATTTTCTTGTCCATGATCAAATGATAATGGTTTAAATTTAATTTGTGATGGATATTCATCTGAACTTAATTCTCCACTTTCACATTCACTTGCACTACCATCCGACGATGTCAATGGTAAATGTGCTGTACTATTATTAACACTAATAACTAAAATGAAATGTTAATTTATAAATTTTTATTATTTATGTATAGAATTAAAACCTTCTTTAACATAAATACATTTTCTTGAAACAGTTCTCATAGCAGCAGCTGCTGTATTTATATTTGTTGAAATATCTGATAAAGGTATCGATGGTCGATGGCAATAGCTATGTGTAGCTGTAATTGAAGATGAAGTATGTGTTGCTGTTGAATGCCATTTATTACTCGACGATAATAAAGTTGAACCTGAATTTGACATTACTATTTCTTTTTCAAATCAAAAAAGCAACAATTTTCATTTGTTCATATGCATAAACAAAACAGATAAGATAGTAATGTAATCTGATTAAAACATTTTACTTGTTATGCATATATAAACAACAAAAAGAATGCATAAGAAAGATACATTACAACCCCTCGATAGATATAATGACTCATTCTTATTGAGGTTAACGAATAGAATTAGACGTAATTCTAAATGATATAGTGAATGCACAAGATTTTAAAATGAAAAAAATTTATTTATTTTATTCACCGAAAAAAAAATCATCAGTTTAATACACATATAATTCATAAATCTCGATTAGTTGAATTATAAAAAATGCTAACTGTCATTAAATAAGAAAATTCGTTTGAATTAATCAACTTCTTCGACATGTGGACCTGAATAATTTTCATAACCATTACCATTTTCATAACCATTACCATTCTGATTTCCACCGCCACGATTATATTGTTGTCCACCACCACCACCATGCATTTTTGTCATTATGTTTTGACATTTTCTTTCTAATGTATTATATTGATGTTCAATTTCATCTTTTTCAGCTAATTGATTTCCATCTAACCATCTTTGAGTTTCTTTACATGCATTTAAAACAGTTGATTTATCGGAACTATTTATAGCTGAACCTTTATAATTTTCTACGGCTTGTTTACATGAATATGTATATGTTTCAAGACGATTTCGTGCATTAACACGTTCACGTGCTCGTTCATCATCTTCACGATATTGTTCGGCATCATTAACCATACGTTGAATTTCTGCTTGTGATAAACGTCCTTTATCATTTTTAATTTCAATCTTTTTATTACGACCTGTACTTTTATCTTCTGCAGTAACATGAAGAATACCATTAGCATCCAAATCAAAAGTAACATCTATTTGTGGTACACCACGGGGTGCAGGTGGAATACCTTCCAGATTAAAACTACCTAATAAATGGTTATCACGTGTCATACTACGTTCACCTTCAAAAACTTGAATGGATACTGCAGGCTGAAAGATATTAAATAGTATTTATTAAATTTATTTTATTCTCTTACTTGATTATCACCATAGGTTGTAAATGTTTGAGTTTTCTTATATGGAATACGTTGATTTCGGTCAACTAATTTTGCCATAACACCACCAGCTGTTTCAATACCCATTGATAATGGTGTTACATCAATAAGTAAAACATCTTTAATCATTTCACTTTGATCACCTTAAAACAAAATAGGGAAAAATAGATTTTTTTGTAATTATTAAGTTTTTTTTTATTTTTACCAGTTAAAATTGCAGCTTGTACAGCAGCACCATAAGCAACAGCTTCATCAGGATTAATATTTTTATTTAAAGTTTTTCCATTAAAAAATTCCGATAATAACTGTTGAACTTTTGGTATACGTGTTGAACCACCAACAAGTACAACTTCTTCAATATCACGTTTTTGTAATTTAGCATCTCGAAGAGCTTGTTCAACTGGTCCAAGTGTACCACGAAACATATCCTATTCATAAAAACAAAGCAAGAATTATTTATTTTTATTTTATTAATTCTTCTTTTACCATATTAAGTTCTTCAAATCGAGCACGACTTATTTGTGTATTAAAATCGATTCCTTCAAAAAGAGAATCAATTTCAATTGAAGCTGTTGTTGATGATGATAATGTACGTTTAGCACGTTCACATGCACTTCGTAAACGACGAAGAGCTTTCGTATGTTTTGTTATATCTTTACCATGTTTACGACGAAATTCATCAACAAAATGTTGTACCATACGATTATCAAAATCTTCACCACCTAAATGTGTATTACCAGCTAAAGAAAAAAATAATTATTACATATTTTTTTTTCTATTAATTTACCGGTAGATTTGACTTCAAATACTGTACCACCTTCATTACCACTACCACCAATTGTTAAAACGGATACATCGAATGTACCACCACCAAGATCATAGATAAGAACATTTTGATCACGTTGAAGTCGTTTCTCAAGACCATAAGCAAGTGCACCAGCTGTAGGTTCATTTATAATACGAAGAACATCAAGACCAGCAATAACTCCAGCATCTTTTGTTGCCTGAAATATGATAAATTCAATGTCAGTAAAAATATAATTTGATACATAATTGTCAATATTTAAAAAACTCGATGATCAAATAGATTTACATCACCAACAAAAAAAAAGGAAAGAAATATGTTTTTCATTGAAAGAGAACGAGCTCTTTTTGTTGCTGTTATTCTCTTTTAAATGATTTTTAAGAATCTGTAAATACCTGTCGTTGTGAATCATTAAAATATGCTGGAACCGTGATAACAGCTTGTTTAATTTGTGTACCTAAGAAAGCTTCGGCTGTTTCTTTCATTTTTGTTAATACCATTGAAGAAATTTCTTCTGGAGAAAAAACCTAAATGAAAAAATAAAAATTTATAATTAAAGAAAAGATTTTTTTCGTAATTAATCTTACTTTTCTTTCTCCTTTAAAGTCAACTTCAATAAATGGTTTACGATCTTTACCACTAATAACTCTAAATGGCCATAATTTAATATCTTTTTGTACAGTTTCTTCATCAAAACGTCTTCCGATTAAACGTTTTGCATCAAATACTGTATTAGTTGGATTCATAGCGGCTTGATTTTTCGCAGCATCGCCAATTAAACGATCCGTATCAGTAAATGCAACATAAGATGGTGTTGTTCGATTTCCTTGATCATTAGCAATTATTTCTACTTTACCATGTTGAAATACACCAACACATGAATATGTGGTACCTAAATCAATACCAATTGCTGTACTTTTTTTCCTATTACTTGCACCACGAGACATAATTTGAGGTAAATGTATATGTAATCAAATGTTGTGTTGAAATAGAAAATATATTGCGAGTAAATACTTAAATATACTTATACAATATTCTAGACCATTCTTGAAGGATCATGAATATATACGAAGGTGAGTTGACGATTGTCGTTACACCTTCGTACACAAATCAAGACGTGTTGTTATAGTACAATTGAGGAAGAAAAACCGAGAAGAAAAAGAAAAAACAAGAAGGGAGTGAAATAGTGATTTGCTTTTGTATTATGCCTACACACACGTTTTTTATGATAATCGCAATAATATAGAAACCAACGAAAAATATTTGTAGATATTTATAGATTATGTTGATGACGACATGTTTGTGATATCTTTCAACTAGAAAAAAATATGTAGAATCTTCTTTTGCATTCTAATGGGAAGAAGAGTTGATTTAAAATTGATCGACTTAATCATATAAACTTAATATTTCGTTGTGAAATTGAGAAATCGATCAAAAATTAGCTAAAGAATTGATACTTTTATTTATTTCCAACAAATAAAGAATAATACATAAGCATATACATTTGATACAGACACACACGCATACAGAAAGAAAAAATTAAGATAAGATCATTTATGTATTATTTGATTTTTCAACAAAAAATTGTTCTATACGTATATAGTTCAATTCGTTTTCTTTAATGATGTTCATGTTGAAGTAAACGAAGTTCACTTGGATCAGCACTACCATTTGCCAAAAGGCCATTTGTACTTGATGAACCTGTATGTCCATTACCCATTGTTGGCATTCCAAGCATAAAATCTCCATTACCATTTGAAGTTAAACCTTGTTCTGTATAAGTACTAATTTTTGTTTCTTTGCCTGGTTCATTCATAAAAGTTGTAGTTGCTGTTTGTGATGAAGTTGTAACCGGTATTCCTGATACTCCGTTTTTTTCTACAAGAGCAACCGGTGTTGGACTATCGGATTCATTGAAATATCGACGACGACCAATCAAATAATAAAGACATGTTAAAAGAAAAATAATTGCAAGAATTGATGATAATAATCCGACGAGCTACAATAAAAATTAGATCAATGTTTTTTT